TGGCTACCCAGAGGTATAACTTGTTTAGGGGGGGTGCCATTTGAAATTTTAAAAAAATATGACATTTAGAGGACAATCAAAAATTTTATTTTTTCGATAAAGTATCCAAAACAAATTATGTGATTCTGGAAGAGATCAGTCCAAAAATTAGCCGCCTGCTCGATTTAATTTCTCTCAAACAAAATTTCGAAAAACTGTCAAATTTTGACGAAAAAAGGTTATAACAGGGAAATCATTAAAGTTAGGGGTATAACATGTTACATAAAAAAATTATTACTTTTCAAGTACTCTCCAACTCAGTAATAAAATACGGGGTGTTCCATTTAAAAAAATGCGAGTATGATACGCCACTGAAACACAGTACGCCCCTGGCGATCAAAAATATTTTAGAAACATGCAGGCGGTAATTGTGTACAATTTTTTTTCTATTTCGGTATTAAAGTGAACTCATTATCACACCGTTGTCAATGGTTTGCGGTTTGATCATGAGCTTCAGTAATGCACTGTCTTTAAGTGCGTAGGCCAACCAAACGTTTTCTTTGATAAAAATACATTATTTCCATTAGACTATGATACAGTAACAAAATGAAGAACTAAGTAAATTACTTTTGAAAGGGATAATGTCAAAAAAAAGTTTAATTACCTCTACGGGATCGGAATATGTTACCAAACCAACCTATTACTTCCGAGGGTTAATAAATCTAATGGGGCGAATCTTTCTAAGGGTGAATTTGTTGGGAACGAATTTTTCGGGGCGAATCTTCCAGAGGCGAATTTGTTGGGGCGAATTTACCTAGGCGAGTCTTCCGAGGCGAATTTACCGTACACCGTTCGTTTATTGTTTTCCATGGCATGATACGATCTACTTTGAATAGTGTATTGATTTATTAAATATGATGCGTTGATAGTTAATTTTCGAAGATGACCTTTAAATATGTCAAATTTGCGACAGTTACACTACCTATCTCATTAAAAATTGTTTTCCATGGCAAACTCTGTTTATTTATCTTTCAATAATACGAAAATTCCTGCAGCGCGTATTATGTCGTTATAAAAAGAAAAATGTGTCATTTTTAAAAATGTCAAAGCCAACTGTGACTATACCACTTAAAAAATGAAAGTTTGTATTATAACTTAAAAACTGTAAAATTGAGAAGGAAATTAGTAACGGGCGATCAAAAATGAGTTGCTGTCGAGTCGCCTTTGGAAGTTCAAGTTAAATTTTATTATACCATTAGTTAAATTAAAATACGATTTTCCATGTAAACAAAAATTTCAAAGGCGACTCGACAGCAACTCATTTTTGATCGCATAGTATGTTCCTCATATTAACCATTAAAATGTTTTATTCGTGTCATTTTGTTGTATTTCTAATAATTAATAAGACCAATTAAAAGAAAAATCACTAAATCTGTTATCTTATATCTAGTAAATTGTGGATTTTTTTTCAAAAAACAATAAGCTTTTAAAACCACAACTCTTTCCTAACCTCCATGTCTTATGGCTTCCGAGATCCCAATGCTTTTTGAAATGAAAAAAAACTCAGACTGCACGGGGTGTTTTTTTTGGGAGCTTTAGTTAAACGTTTCTGGAAAAGTGAAATAGGTAGGTTTTTGAACATGTGTACTTCGGAGTTACCTACTCTGAAGGCCGAATCGATGTAAAATATTTTCAAAATGGTCACACTTCCGGAGATACCGGAAGTAGCTAGTAACTTCGTTATTTTAAATGGCAACCGCTATTTTTTATTGCATTTTTAGATTCTACGTGTAATTTCAGTTCTTTAAGTTATTTTAACTTTAAGAAAAAATGGCGGATGCAGATGGTACTTGAAAACAGTTGTAGTCATGGCAACCCATTTTTATCGATGCATAGAGAATGAATAGAGTTTTCTTTTAGTGTACTTTAAAAAAAAGTTAAGCACGACCGCACCTGTGCAGATCCAAATTTAAGAAACTTCAAAGACTGAAAACTTTTTTAAAGGAAGTGACCATTTTCTTACTAGTGGATGATATAAAGAATCGAAATTGGCATATTTTGATATTACATGTTTCTAGTTTCTGATTTATTCCCATTTCATTGAATTGACACCATTTTTTTCGGATTCTCTTTTTAGTAGTCGGCCATGATTTTATAACAATCGAATTGTAAACAAATCAAAGAAAGGATTCTTTAATATCATCTTGAAAGTAAGAAATGTACTACAAACCATTGAAACACAAGTGATACAAATACCTACTCTGGATGCGAGCCTAATATTTATATTGCAGACGGGCCTTGCTACCCCGCTGATGTATACCCATTGATCGCCTTTTACGATTTCCAGGGTGGGAGTGGGCCAATTCTACCCCCGAACCCACAGGGGGAATAATATGCTATTACTTTGTGTCTTAGCTTTTTAAATTAATTCACCATCCAAATTTGGTTAGGGTATTTTTTAGAAGAAACCGTCTATTGCACTCCCTAGGAAATCTTTGTCAAAGACAGTATAAAATGAGCGCAAAAGAGTAAAAAAGGATGCCTAATTTTACAAAATCGGTGATGTTGCAATAAAACAATCGTATATTTATCTACAACCACTCGATTTGTGGCGTCTAAAATCGCCACACAATGGAACTAGATAGGAGCCAACAAATGTATCTTATCTTTTAAACCTGCGACTTTACAAAATGTAATTGATTTGATTACGATTGCAATTCAATTTGCGCGTTCTCGGTAATTGACGTGAAATCTCATCTCTTAATCAGTAAATACGTTTAAATTAATCTCTTCGGAGAAAATTTCTGGATGTAGAGAAGAGTAAAGAGATGTTTAAACGCTTTTAAAATTCGTTACGTCACTTATGTCGGAGAAGTGCCTAAATTTAGCGGTTTGAACAGCTTTGTACAACATAGCACGAGGCTTACACCAAGAGATGACCATTTGCCTAAATGGTGAAAGAGTAACAGCAAAATTTGCACGTATATGTACAGTGTGTCCCAGATCGGGTGGGATTGCATGGGTAACTTTCTTATTATTAAAGATAGAAAATTGGTTAAATGGGCAATGTTTTGCAGTTTTAGATACTTGTTTTAAATTTCCTTTTGGAAATTCAAAATGTCGAATAGGTTCGACGGAAATTCAAAAAAACTAAAATTGGTCATTTATCATCGAAAGTACAAGAGATATAAAAAAAAGTTTTATATAAAAGTTACTGTCTTTGATACACCTAATTTAGAATTGATGTCAAAAAAAAATTCAAGATGGCTACCTTTGAGGAACATTTACCAATTTCCTAAAGTTAAATAGGCGCTATATTGGATTTTTATATTTATTTGATAGATTTTTTAATTCTCTTTTCAACCAACTATCATAGCATAAGATTGAAAATAAGATACCAGTTATATCAACGGTTTTTATATTTTAATCAAGTAGGCTATGATGAATTAAAAAAAAACAAAACAAAATCTATTCGAGACAACACAACAGTCAACAATAATAGTACATTATATATCAAGGTAGAGAAGTACAGTATTATTGCCTGAGCACCAAGATTACATCTCGAGGCGCTTGCGCCGAGGGGTGTAAGGTGCGAAGGCAATAATAGACTTCTCTACCGTGGTATATATACTATTTTTTTCACTACTAGCACTTGAAATCCTCTAAATTAACATATTATATTGATAAGAGAGTTAACGGTTGGACAGAATTGTTTGTTTCTTAATTTAACATGTCAATCAAGTACGTGGAAGTACAAGTCAAACAGGCCGTATTTTGTTCTGTCATTGAGATTTTTCAAAGAGTAATTTCGTTCGAATTTTTTCAAAATGTGATAATTTTAGGTATGTAATTTCTCTGGAAATTGCGAATGGTGGCAATTATTCGTTTTAGAGAACTTGTCTAAACGTTCATTGAGCGAAATTTCGGGTTGTGTTTTCTAAAAGTGACAGCGTGACAGTTCTCATTATTGACTACTAGTTAATAATAAAAAATTATTAACCACTTTGAACAAATGCCGAGAAAGCCTACTTTACAAGTGGAAAAAAGGTTAATAATCATGTCATCAGACGCTAGTAGTGAAAAAATAAATTTATCACAGAGTAATTTGCTATACTATAGTTGTCATATATTAAAATTAAGATCACATATTTTGTAAAAGCACTCAGCTATCAAATACCTTTTGAGGGCGGCTTTAAATTGAGCACTGTTTCTCAAATCCTTAATGAAGGCTGGTAGGGCATTGAAGATTTTGATGCTAGTGTACAGTGGTCCTCTTTCGAATTAATTTTACTTTCATTGTTTTGTTGCCTCGAATAGATTTTGTTTTGTTTTTTTTTAATTTATCATAGCCTACTTGATAAAAATACAAAAACCGTTGATATAACTTGTATCTTATTTTCAATCTTACACTATGATAGCTCGTTGAAAAGACAATTAAAAATTCTATTAAGTAATCTAAAAATCCAATATGGCGCCTATTTAACTTTAAGAAGTTGGTATATGTTCCTCAAAAGCAGCCATCTTGAATTTTTTTTGACATCAATTCTAAATTAAGCGTATCAAAGACACGCACTTTTATATAAAACTTTTTTTTATATCTCTTATATTCTATCTATCAATTCTCTATCTTTAATAATAAGAAAGTTACCCATGCAATTCCACCCGATCTGGGACACACTGTATACTGACTATACTCAAAATGTTGAAATATTCTCTAATTTCGGTCACATGATGCGTTATATGAATATTAACAAAGTAAAGTCATCACTTTGCACCAACAGATGCATTATCTCTATTGTTATTATCGATCTTTTGTATGGAGCAAAGATAGCGTTCTCATTTTTAGAAGTTTTTACGAAATGCTCCAATGAATCAAATTAGGAGACAAAATACGCTGCCCTGGAGATCGATTGCGGCACTTCTATTTGGAAGAAACTTTGATTCACATTTTCTTCTTCTTTGTAGTGGTGTCTACTGCGTACTTGCAAAAATTCGGTAGAAGTTGTTTACTCCGATTGAGAATTATCTAATCAAATACTGATCAGTTCTCCACTTGAAACTGGTATAAAAGCCCAACCCGAGCTGTAATCGTCACTTTTCAGCAGCAACATGTTCAAAGTAGTACTGGTTGCCGTGTTCGCCGTTCTTGCCGTTGGTAAGTATGCGGGCATTTCATAAAACGGTTTAAAAATGACGCAACAAACAGAGGCAAGTCCGAGATTCCGTCTCCAAGTTCCCCAGCTCGATGGAAGAATCGTGGGTGGTGTTGATACGACCATCGAAGAGTATCCTCATCAAATTTCGCTCATGTATTACACCCGCCACATCTGCGGTGGATCGATTATTGCTCGCAACTTGATTTTGACTGCTGCTCACTGCACTAACGGGTAAAATCAAATCGCAAAAGTAGGCACTAAACCGCTTAAAATTGCAGCAAATCTGCCCAAGTCCTAAACATTCGTTACGGAAGCAGCGTAAAGAATGTAGGGGGCACAGTTGTCGCCGTTGTTCAGATCAAAGACCATCCCAGTTACAATCCCGTCAACACCGACTACGATGTTTCCGTTTTGAAAATAGCGGAAGACGTGGTGGTTTCGTCGAGGGCCCAAATCATCAGCATGGTCGCTTCCAATGCCCAAGAAGGAGGTCGTAACGCTTTCGTATCCGGCTGGGGCGCCCTTTCATCCGGCGGATCTTCGCCCAGCCAACTCCAAGTCGTTGATGTCGCAGAAGAAAACAGAGCCGCGTGCAACAGGGCTTACGGTGGAAAAATCACCGACAGAATGATCTGCTTCAAAAATCCCGGCAAGGATTCCTGCCAGGTAATTCACGTACTTGATTTTACACGCACTAACATTATTTCTAGGGAGATTCTGGTGGTCCTCTCGTCTCTGGTGGCGCTCAAGTTGGCGTCGTCTCCTGGGGTTACGGATGTGCCGATGCCAGGTACCCTGGAGTCTACTCGCACTTAACTCATGCTGGTATTAGGGCTCACATTGAACTTGCGATGAAAAATAATTAAGAAAATGAACTAAATTTAAAAAAATTATATTCCGGTATTTAAATTTTTAACTGTTAAAACGCTTCCATTAATTCCTAACTCCCCCTCAACCCCATCGCCTAGAGTTGTGAACAAAAAAATCGATCGTAAACAGCAATGGGTTGGCCGAATAGAATTTGTCATAGATCTGTAGAGCAATTTCTCATAGAATGTGGCCTGTAGATTCCATAATTTCAAACAGTTCCAAGATTGGGCTACTAGTTCAAAAGTTACAGTTACAGTGCATGAAACACTTGAATTTGTAGCGTGTTTTCGTGCAATGTACAGATAATTGATCTGATCACATTGAAAAGCTGCACCTATTTTTTATTTTATAATTTATAAGACGCAGAGTAAATTAGAAATAGAGTACACAAGTTTTAGCCACTCGCGCGAGTACCACGGCCTGTTTATTGCAGTTCATTAGTAATGCATCGGTAATTTTTTCTGTCTCTGACACGACTAAGAATTAACACTTCATTCCCCAAGCATGGTTAGCCAAAAACGACATGCCACACGCCATTTAGTATTTTAAAAATGTTTGTGGATTGCCGTAACGGCTCCGCGCCCCATTCCCTTATTATATACGGGAATTTATCCGGGTCTACTCGAGTTAAGTTAGAGCGATGCAATTTTCTGTATGGAAAGATCCTTAATTTGTACACAATTTCCATTCATAATTTTGTTTGAGAAGTCAAGAACGATTCGTTTGATCCCTTTGTGTTTATTCCTTCCCTCAGTCGAGCTTATATTGCCTGGGAAATTCCGGAAAATTTACGACCTGACAACACTTTCCCCAGTTTCACTCTGCATTTGCCGCTATCTTTGTTTGCTCAATGACGCCAATTACATTAAGGTACCGAGTCTCTCAATTAACGTAAGTCACTTCGTGTTCCCTTAATTATCAGATTATTAACTTAACTACGGAAAACTTGGGCGAGAAATTCAATCGCTAACCTAAAAACGCATTACATTTTCCGGGCTCTAATTATTATAAGAATATGACCTATTTAAGTCGACAGTAGCAATTTCAGATTTCTTCGGGCAATTCAATTAACTACAATTTCCGATTGTTACAACTTAAATAACGACTTATAAAGTAATTAAAGCAATCATATCAATCGCATTAATCACTAGCTCCAACAGAACAACTAATTACACCTCTCCAAAGCACGAAAACGAAATAAATTTCCTTTTTTACTTTCCTTACGTGGCCGTGTAATTTGTTTTTTTCTTACTTTACGTATCGAGTGGGGTGGGTAACCTTTATCGTAAAGTCTGTCGTACGACGATGGTGTGATTGTGCATGTGGCAGTTGATAAACGGAAGTGGGTCAAGTGAAAAAGATAACTGAAGGAAATAGATTATACCAAAATTGGCGAAACGTGAATGGAGATAAGTTTGTTTGCGGAAATAGTAAAAAGAAACGGGGATTTAACTTCTCACAGCTCCGTGAGGCAGTTGTTGAGATTATTCTAATTGTTCAAACACGCCAAGATTCTTCTTGCTCAATTCGCGCATTTTGCCTTCTACAGGCCAAAATCCATAAGAAAAAGTCCCTTTTCGACCGATTTAAAATTTGCCAATGTTTGACGAAATAGTTTGCTATGTCTATAAATTCTGTAAAAAAGGGCACATGAGTTTTGGATCGAAAAATATCTTTTCCTTATCGATTTTGGTTTACAGAATCCAAAACGTACCGAATTTTCAGGATTGAACGACCACTGCAAAAGTTATTGCAAAAGATAGATGAAAGGGGTATTACTTTTGATATAGTGGGCCAATTATGAATATTCTGGTCCTTTTGCATCCTGCAGGCTAAACATCTTTTTACGGTCGATCCAAATTTGCCTATAAATTCTGTCGAGAATTGACCTATCCGAAAGTGATTAGAAAATCCCAGAATCTTCACGATTCAAGATACAAGACAAGATTTAAGATTCAAGATCCATTCAAGGTTTCAAGGTTTCAAGATTCAAAGTTTCAAGATTTAAGATACACTTAAATATACCTGTTTCATTTTTCTTTGGAAATCGGTTTTTTGCTCGGACCCTTTGATGTAGACGTTCAATTCTTAAATTTTGTTCATGATTTTTTATACAAGAAATTGCTTTGACATAACTAACAAAAGAGTAACGGTTATTTAAGGCAACTATTGAAATTATTAAATTAATTTACTTTCTATTTTCCTTAATTTGAATTTTTCTCTTAAATGTGATTATGTAATATAATAAGTTTTGTTATACTGCTATATCCTAAAAAGTGTACCAACTCTTTTAGATTATAATAAAAAATATCCGTTGCTGGTATAAATTGTGCACGACTCTTGTGCAGATAAAGCGCATTTATTTAAACCGAAATACCTGAGTAAATGGTTAGGTTATAGGGTAGTCGCATGCTATAAGAACAGCACCCAAAAAAAGAATGGAGAGGCGGCAGCGAAATTTGATGACCGTAGAGCTCAAGGTATACAAGTCACGTATTGCATTCAAATTACAAGACTCTAAAACAATTCCCCTACAAGTTGTTCAAAACCGCAGAACTGGGTCCGGACAGACGGACGGGCGAACAAAACGCAAACAATAGCAATACATTTTTTTTAATTCTTAAAAATGCACTAAAAATATATGTTCCCCTTGACCACCCAGAAGTACGCCACTGATCCCAAATGAGATTACCAGCAGACATTGACATTTTGAGATTACATCTTTTTTTCTCTTTACAACAATATATCACACATGGTGGTTCAGTATCACATTTTTTCTAAAAATACAATTTTCATTTTCTGCGAAGAGTGCTTTGGAAAAACAAAACGTTCTTTTATTGTGAACAAAAGTTTGACAGTTTGATCCATCTGACTGGTTGCAGCGTTGGCAGGGAACTAGTTGTGTTGAGAAAATTCGATTTTCATCCGAACAGAATTGAACCTTGGTTTTGAAAGAAAATTATAATTCAAATTAGAACAAAATACATAAGAATAAATAATATTTTTGCAATAAAACTAGCACAAACGTAAATGACACTGCTTGAAATAAGTCAACATTTTGTTCACAACAAAAGAACGTTTTGTTTTTGCAAAGCACTCTTCGCAGAAAATGAAAATTGTATTTTTAGAAAAAATGTGATACTGAACCACCATGTGTGATATATTGTTGTAAAGAGAAAAAAAGATGTAATCTCAAAATGTCAAAATCCCTGAAGTTAAAAGTCGCGGTGGGAGTCGGGTGTGGACTCGTATAGTGAATGCGCTTTATATGGCTTTATAGAAATCTATCATAAAACCAATGTGGGCTTATGGAATCGAAAAATAGGGATGCGCAAGCAAATCCAATATTAATATATTCCAGAGGAGTCAACCGAAAAATATTTCGCATGATCATGGACGCACCATGGTATGTTTCCAATCAGACACTACATACTATGCGATCAAAAAAGAGTTGCTGTCGGGTCACCTTTGGAATTTTTGTTTACACGGGAAATCATATTTAACATGAACTTCCATAGGCGACTTGACGTCCCAACACGTCATCATGAAAGTTGCATTATTAACTCATAATTCAGAGTAAAATTCCCATTGAATGATATTCTGATTGTTAAATGAAAATAAGAAAAACGGTGACAATTTTAGATAGCTAAAGAAACGTTCGGTCACTAAAAAAGAAATTAGAGGAACTTGTGTAATAATTTTGGTGAAACAAGAATCATTAATCATTGGTTATTTTAGAAAAATATTTTAAGTTAATTCTGTTACTGGTTTCGTATTTGGAGAAATTTATGATGAGGCAATTTGAGTAAATTAAGGAATACAGTGGCAATGTAGGTATACAGGGTGGTGAGTTAAGCGTAACGAAAAATTTTTTTACGCCATTCAACCGTATTATTAGTTTTCATTTTTTTTATATAAAGACGGAAAATTGGAAAAATAAAACCCCCATCTTTTTCAATAATCTGCGATGCCATGGAATTTTCTAAAACAAAACAAAAACCAAAAAGATATCCAGCAGTTTGAAATGGATTTTATGATCGACTTGGTTACTGTCTTGCAGTTAAAGGTGACTTATTCGAACATTTATTGTAAATATTAGAACCGTTTTTAGTAATTTGGTCTTTGGTTATATTGAATTCGTTGTTTTAAATATTTTCAATATTTAAATATTTTTCATAGAATTTGATTTGTTTTATAGCAGACATTCCATGGCATGACGGATATTGGCGTAGTTTTTGTTTTAGAAAATTCCATGGCATCACAGATTATTGAAAAAGATGGGGGTTTTATTTTTCCATTTTCCGTCTGTATTATGCAAAAAATTGAAAACTAATACGGTCGATTGACGTAAAAAATTTTTTTCTACAAAAAAACCTTCATACATTTTTGCTCTAAAATAATTTGAGGAGCCAATTTCCCGTACGTATTTTTAATAGAGCAGTAAGTTATCCAAAATGTCTTCTACGATGTAAATAGTGTACTGAATGCCTCTATCGAGAATAAAGACGATCAATTAATCACAGCTGCAAAACCGTCTACCTATGATTGGTCAACGAGGCAACATGAATGTCAAACTGACAGCAGCCATCTATTGACCACCGAAGCGGCAAATCTCCCTTCGAGAGTCGTATTGTGTTTCTCTTTTATATATAGGTGCATGCATACCTTGCTATCGTGTTACCTGCGATTTTCTATAAAAACGTATAAATCTGAGGGAGGCGAATAAAAAACATTCCCGAATAATGATCGACGGAGGGACATGGGAAAAGTTTTCGTCTATACCTATTATTGGTCGCGGGGGTCGAAGGGAAAAGGCGACGAGATTACAACCGAAACTTTAAAGTTATTAAGGGGACACAAAGCTGCGACGCGTTATCCTTGTAGTTTTAATCAAAACGGATCGTAAAACACCCCTAACCCTGGCATGTCAAATGAAAAAGCATTAGTTTAGTGCCAGTCCAATGGATGATGATGACCGTGTGCGGTATCCAATTTAGACCGGCCATCCAGCCATGAAATAACATTTAGACTGA